GGGGTTACCAGCTAACATAAGAAGATACTAAAATAAAAATGTCCAGACTAGGTCAGACCAAAGGTCTGTCTTGCTCAGTATCCTACCTTCCAACAGTGGTCAATGCAGGTGCTTCAGAGGGAATGAAGAGAACAGGTAATCATCAGGTGATCATCCCATATAATCTCTTTTAATCCCCTGAATTAGATATAATTGTCAGACTGCTCCCAGTAGTGAAAAAACACCATGATGATTCATCATGAATTTACAATAGCTGGCACTGCTGACTCATGATTATACAACATGATTTCTTCCCACTGCTCCACCAACATTCTTCAATCCTGTACTGGAAAGAGTACCAAAGGGTTCGTATTACACTGACAGGGAGGCAGCCTTTGACCTCTCTGACTCTACCGCTGACAAAAGTGGTGGAGTGGTTTTGGAACAAGAAGACAGAGAGCTCTACTCAGTTCATGTAAGAATATGAACAACTACTAGATGATAACTTTGTTTTCCTGCTCAAGTTGTCCAGCATTAGATTATCTTATTTAAAGATATGAAGTTCCAAGTCATAGCACATTACATAAGAACATAAGAATGTCCAGACTGGGTCAGAGCAATGGTCCATATAGCCCAGTATCCTGTCTGCCGACAGTGACCAATACCAGTTTCCCCAGAGGGATGGATCACAATAGGTAATCCTCACGTGATTCCTCCCCTGTTACCCACTTCCAGAGAAACAGAGGCTAGAAAATCCATTCCTACTCATTCTGGCTAATAGCTGTTAATGGACCTAACCTCCATGAATCAATCTAGCTCTTTTTTGAACCCTGTTAAAGTTCTAGCTTTCACCACATCCTCTGGCAAGGAGTTCCATAGGTTGACTGTGCGCTGAGTGAAGAAAAACTTCTTTTTGTTTGTTTTAAACCTGCTGCCTATTAATTTCATTTGGTGACCCCTAGTTCTGATATTAGGGAAATAAGTAAATAAGTTTTCCTTATTCACTTTTTCATACCCGTCATGATTTTATAGACTTCTATCGTATCCCTCCTTAGTCTCCTCTTTTCTAAGATGAAAATTCCAATTCTTTTTAATCTCTTCTCATATGGAATCTGTTCCAAACTCTAATAATTTTTGTTGCCCTTTTCTGAACCTTTTCCAATGCCAATATAATTCATTTCTATAGCTATAAAACCTGATTTTCAACTTGAATTCTAAAAGTTAGGCATCTCAGTCACTGGCTTGCTACTGCAGGGCTGATTTAGGTATCTCAGAATCATGTTTGCTGCTTTTTTTTTGGGGGGGGGGGGGGGGGGGGGCAACAGAATTACTAGGGACCTGAATAAGGAGGAAGGAGCCCAGATCCATGCTTCTAAAAGGGGTGGGGCTTTGGGAAGAAGAGGTGGAGCTATGGGATAAGCTCCCCAGTTAGCCCTTGAATGCCATCTAGTGTGCATCGCCCAGCAACAGTTTAAAGGGCCCGGGGGACCGGCGGCCACTACTGCTCCAGTAACAGCCATGGTGCTCAGGAACACCAAGCTCTTTTGAATTCTGGACCCCATAACAGTTGCCCTCTTTGCCCAGCAAGCTTATTGCTCTTTTATATCGTGGAACAAACTGGTCCCTGGTCAGTACCACGACTGAACATGGATTGGCCCCAGCACCAAACTGAGCTTTGTGTGTTCTCAAATGCTGAAGTTTCCCTTATTTTGCCTTGTCTACATAATAAGCATCCTTCCGTGTCAAGAGATTCCTTGAGAGGAAAAGAATTTACGCCAAGGGTTGTATGGCAGCTTTCAGCAGTGGCTAAGGAAACCCTCTCTCTTGTCTATGAGCATCATGAGTCTACCTAGATCCTTTTGAAGACATTTGGAATTGTATTATTCCTTCTACTAACACAGGACTGGGCTCATCATCCTTTTATCGCTACCTGTGGAACTCATCTGGACCTCATTACCATTCCACTGGAACACCTCACAGTATTTTTATCCTCACAATAGATGCGTGGTTGGGGACGTGCTATTTTCCCCATTTTAGAGATGGGGGACGGAGACACAGAGGGGGCAAAGTCCAGATTTTAAAGGTTGTTAGGCATTGCTGCACTCAACATTGCAACTCCAAACCAATGTATAAGTCTCATTGTCAAAAGTGGTTTAGGCTCTTAGAACTCTAAAGCCCATTCACAGTCATTGGGATTTTGGCTTCTAAGTGTTTATTGTTTGAAAATGAAACTCAGCCTTCTAGCTCAGGGAAATGTAGCAGCACTGTTAGCAGCAATGGCTAAATAACTTTAAAATCTGGGCCTATGTGACACATGGCAGGAACTGAACCCCTGTATACTAAGGCCTAGGCTAATACCTTAAGCACTGGACTTTCCTTTCTAATAGAATCATTTTACGCTTGGATGGAAACTGTGCTTGCTGTGCTCGGTGAACCATACTGAACCCTAAAAAATATAGACTTAGAATAGTTCAGCCTGACCTAAGTCCAAATGCTGATACCCTTACTCCCACCAAACAGCACCTTTCAAATTCATATTTGCAGATCCACCTATGGAGAAAAATGTGACTCATAGTGAGCAAGGGTACCCGCTCCTGGTCTTGAGTTTAAGCTTGGCTTTTTCACACTCCTCGGGCAAACCAACTGTTTGTTCTTTCCAACTAAGTCAGCAAATATGGTTTCAGCTTCAGGAATGACGTGGCCCCATGTTGTATAATTATTGTACGGCGGCTGCCCATCGTGTGCTGCTTATACAAACAAATTATCTGAGCCCATTTGTCTTGCCTCCATCACACAAAATGTTTTTTGTACTTTCACCTGGAGCAACAGACCTGTGCCTATGGCTGCAATGCTGGCAGACCCTGTACCAACTTATCCTAAGGCCCTGGGACGCATTGCAGATGGACAGATTCATAGCTGGAAAACAGTGTGGCTCAGCTGTGTGCTAGCATAGTCCACATAGATATTAGAGCAATGAGAATTAGTTTAGACTTTATGGCATACTGGTAGGATGTGGCATCTCTTAGTCCTACTTATCTGTGTCCACAGGAGCTCACTCTTGGTTTTGCTAATGGGTGTCCCACACTGGCTCCACACCCGCCCCTGAGGCCCTGCCTCCACTCCACCTTTTCTTGCTCTGCCCCTTCCCCTGAGGCTACATCTAGACTACATGGCTCCATCGACAGAGCCATGTAAAACAGTTTATTCGGCATAGTCAAAGAACCAGGAATTTAAATAATCCCTGCTTCATCAAAATAAAAATGGCCACAGCGCTGTGCCGATGATCAGCTGATCCGGCACAGCATGGCAGTCTAGATGCGGCATGGTCAACAAATTGTGGGCCAAATACTGTCAATTTTTCACTCCATCCACCCAGGAAGAGTTTAAATTATATCTTATCACAGTGGACCCCAGTTGTGATAAAAATCTCTCTCCAGAAGGAGCTTTTTAAAAAAATGTTTTTGAATTCTAAGGACATGTCTACACAGCAGCGTTATTTCAGAATAAAATTTCTGTCAAGTGCAGCCCCCTGCAGACAAATAGGGCAAAACTAGTTTCAGCCAATCTGGCCTCAGCTAATTCATTGACCAGACATTTACTGAATTCCTCTGCACTCTCATTGTACCTGAGCTGGGAGGTACATGACATAGGTCCCATCACTTCATGGTGGAATCTACATTTATATGGAAGCATTCATAATATTAGCCAACATTCATGTTTTATTAAGAAATTCCCTCAGCTGTCTTATAAACTCAGGCAAAAGTCAGGGGGCAGAATGACTTTATATCACCTCCCTAAGGTGAAAAGCCTCCATCCCCGTCGGGCTGAAATGCAAAAAGCTCTCTTTTGTACAGAGAAAGAGGAGATTTCCCAGCTATCTGGGACCCAAGCCTTTGAAATTTGTGCGTTGAGTGGAACACCAGCATAATATTATCTGAGGGTACGTCTACATTGCTATTTCAGGATACCTCCAGTATCCCAAAATAGCTACCCCATGTCTACATAAGCCACCCATTACTTTGGAATATTTTTTTGAAATAACGGGCACGCTATTTCATCATCCTGGTAACCCTCGTTATACGAGAGATAAGGGATAGCTCAAAATTACACAGCACCAAATTTCAAAATAATGTGCTGACACGCCAAATTTCAAAATAAGCTATTTTGAAATAGATTTGAGATAAGTTACGCAATATGTGTAATGCAAATTGTGTATTTTATTTCGAGTTTAGGGTGCTGCGTAGATGCACCCTAAGGCCAGTCATGCTAAGTAAATAGGGTGCGACATTCTGCACCAGTTGTCACTTCTGAGTAGTCTTCAAAGGGTATTTCTCACCCATGTAGCTACGGAGCTTTACTGCTGTTAATGTAGTACCAGCGTATTGTAAGAGACTGAAAACATTGAGTCTTGACACTGCCATTAAGTATCACACACTGACATTGCCATTACCAGTGGCAGTGTACAGCTCCCCACAATGCACCAGTAATAAGTCTGGCTCGGGAGAGTGGAGCACCATCTGTAGTGATAGACAGCAATAGCCAACTTGTAAAGCCCCCAAGTGACTAGTTTTGGGGAAATGTTGATTTAGACTCTAGTAGAGCCCCTGTAAATTTTGTGCCATTTGTAATCTCTCCACCATAGGCATGAACTGAGAACAATGTTCCTGCTTTGAAGATATTACAAATTTAAGTAAAGGTGTAGCTTGAAGGGAAGTTAATACTGGGGAGTGGATAGGACTGCCAGGGTTACAAGAGCACACGGTTAGTTTTGGTTGTAATGTGCTTACTTGAAGGATTTTTGTGGAGGTTTTCCTTATATAATTGTTTATGATTGAACTAACCATGCTGCTTCTTTATTGGGATTATGGTATTTGCTTAACCTTTCCTCCGGCCTAAGAGTTTTAGTTTTATTTACTGAGGGCTCCACCCAGACTTTCAGAGAAGCTTGTTGTCAGCCACGTATAATGTGGATACAATAGTAGCAGCTGAATGAACTGCTTCAATTGTCACCTGCCACGTACCAGTCTGGAGGCGTTTCCTTTGCTCATGTTGATTTGGAAGAGCTCCATGCATCATGACAACTCCTCCTCCATAACAGAAATTCAGGGATATCCTTTTAAGATGCAATTCAATGAAGAATCCAGAGCTGGTGATCAATGTCTTCTGTGGTATCCGTCCCTATCATAATGGATCAATTGACTTGTATCCATTAATTTAGTCTCACAACAGCCTTAAAGAATTTAAACATTTAAATCAGGGGCTGAGGAACAAACAGCTAGATTTTTAAAGGAATTGAGATGCACAGTGGTGCAGACAGGTGCTTTTGAAAATCACACAAAGCAGCTGGGGGCCTATTTGCATCTCTGGCATCTAAACACCTTTAAAAATCCAGCCCTTAGTAACTTGCTCACGGTATCACACTGAGTCTAGAGCAGAGCTAGACCGCCTGCATCCCTGGCCAGTACCTTAGTAAAAAAAAACCCATCCTCCTCCCCCAACCCTTAGTGATGTAGTTTTACTCTTCAATGTGTGTTTTGATCCACGGATTTTTGTCTTTTCCTGTAATTATATTCAGTAAAAGAAAGCTCTGTTAGTAAATCTTGCAGGGTAACTGAAGTGTCACCATCTTGTCTCAACAAATAAGATCAACATCAATCTCTGGAACAGCAGTTCTTGAACTTCATTCTACCGTGACCCCTTTCTGACCACAAAAATTCCTACAAGACCCCACCTAGGCCAACGTCATAGCCTGAGTCCTCTTCCCGGGGTTCAGGAGACTGAAACCAAAGTCTGAGAGCCTCAGTCCAGGAAGGGAGGGTGAAGCCCTCTCTGCCCCATGTTTTGGCTTCAACCTGGGAATCCACTGAGTTTAACACTTCTCTAGAACAAATTAAAATGGGGTCACAACCCACTGCTTAAGAACCGCTGCTCTAGAACAAATTACAATCAACAAAAACAAAGTGGGTTTCCCCCTTTTCTTAGCTAGACCCATGGCAAGCAACCAAACAAGCCTGTCTAGTAAAAAACCAGTTTAGTAAGTCTAGATAACAGGTGTCTTGCTGAAAGTACCTAATGAATAATTCACATACTATTAATCAAGCTGTTCTGTTGAAATCATTTGAACGAAAGCAAAATGATTCTTATTACATGGGAGTGCAGCACAAACACATGGAAGAACTTAAAGTCTAAAATCCTGATCGTTGAACGGGACACCATACTTTCATTTTTCACCCACAATTTTGCACCTGCAGTTTGTAGGAGCAAAAGAGTAAAGCTGGGATGATGCTCATTTCCAAACCAGGAATTCTTATTTGTTTGGTACATACCTCTGTTATGTAATGCCACCATTAATGTTATCCAGATATCCATGTACCTGGCTGCATCTGTAAATCAGCTGTATGTACGTATCCAAGTGACATCAGTTATGTTCACAAATAAAGAACACAAAGGAGGAGGCAGTTTTCAAAATCTAACCTTAAAGGCATGAGTGACTCCATGAGTTTAAAGAGATACACAAATTATATAGAAAGGAGTCCACATCCGGCCTTCTGTTTGCTCTGGTTTATCTTCTTTTGTATTGAAAGGCTAGTGGAAAAAAAATGCTTAAAGAGCTCATGTTTATTTCACAAACCACTGAGCACAGTGGCACATTTAGAGTTAGTGGAGCCATGTGCTCAGGTTTCTTTTTGGGGCCCTCCCTGGGGAACCAGCCGAGCAAAAGAACATTCACTCTTCCCGTCGCATCCATTTTTCATTCTTTTTTCTTCATCCTCCTTCTATATTATAAGCAGAGCTGGCTGAACCGCAGCGAGCCCCGCTTGCCAGCCCCGCTGTCCAGCGTTCTGCGCATGCGCAGATCGCCTGAACCCGGGCGAGTAGATTGTATTATTTGTTCAGCCCTGATTATAAGTAATAAGAAGTAAATGAAAATAAAGTGAGGTGCCTTGATTGTTTTTGTAGTCTAACTTTCTTTTTTTCCACAGACCACTTGAAAATTGCTGAAGGTCTTGGGTGGGCCCACTTAATGAACTTTCCAAATCTTGTTTGTACCATTAGATAACTACTGTGAAGTGCTTTGGATAAGAGATTTAAAAAAAAAATCTCCATGACTACAAAGGACGACTTCTGGTGCTCCAGTGGCCCTGTTCTGGCTGGCTTGGAGAAGTGGGCAGACACTCACATGTACTCTACCTAAAGGTGAGGGGAGACACACAGTTCCATTGACCATTGGATTGCTCCCCGCACCCCGAGCTCTCCATCCCCCGTCTGCTCTCCCCCTTGCCTGTAGGCAGCCATCCCTCACCAAGTGGTGGCCAGCAATACAAACATGGGCTGGGAGGCTTCAGAGGAGCACTGGGTAGCTGCACAGCTAACGACTGGAGAGAAGAGGCACTTTCCCTCCTCCAAGCACCACTTTTCTCTGCCCAATTGTACGGTTGCCCCGTGCTCCTTTGAGGACTTCCAACCCATGTTTGCGCTGCTCACTGCCTCCTGACGGATCTCCTGAGGCTGAAGGTTAGCCTCCTTGCTTTCCTGCCCTCCCCCCACAACCCTCTCTATAGAGGGACTGTTCTTCCTTCTCCCCATGCAGGGAGGTGTCGGACCCAGTGCTGGACTGCCTGGCCCCTGGGAGCCCCATGTCATTGCAGCAACCCCGTGCCAGAGCATGGTATGTTTTAGTCTAAATCCTCTTCTGACTGAACATTCCTCTTACGAGGAGTCCAGGTACAAAGGGCAAATGTTGGTAGGGGGGTGGCTGAGTTTTTTGCAGCTAATGCTAATGCGTTTAGGTGCCTGCTAGTGGATTATCAGATGCCCAGAAGGAATGTGGGTTACACCGAGTCCACTGCCTGGCATGCTTCCCCATACTGTCTCATGATTGTCTTGCACTCCTGTGTCTGTCTCTCTCCATCCATCCGTGGACTTTTTTTTTGGTTTACATTGAAAGTGTTTTAGGGGGTATGGGCTGTATTTTTGTGCTGCATTTCTACAGCACCTCACACAATGGGGGTCCTAGTCCATGAATAAGACTCCCAGAGCCTATAGCACCACAATAAAAAATAATTCACATCTCTCCTTTCACAGAAAACACTTTGCCTTACAATATGCACGCACTGGGCAAAGAACAGCATGTTTATATGAAGCCTTGTAACATAAGTCTCTCAATAGAGTCTCAGTTTGAGGACTAGCACACATAGGTTATGTCTACACTGTGGCCCTATTTTGGGATACTTCCGATTTCCCGAAATAGCTATTCAGTGTCTTTTGAACATGCCCGTTATTCTGAAATATCTTTCGAAATAATGGGAGCACTATTCCGACATCCCTGTAAACCTCGTTCCATGAGGATGTGTAGACAGCGTCATGTGTAGACAGCACCAAGTTACAAAATAAGCGATTTCAAAATTAACTTGAAATAAGCTACGCAATTTACGTAGCATATTTCGAGCTAAGGGTGCAGTGTAGACATATACAGTGTATGAAAAGGAAAAGGAATAAGATAATTGCTATCGAGTATTGGACTTGAGATTGCAGAATAGGCACTGGGATATCTTGCATCTGACGAAGTGGGTCTTTGCCCACAAAAGCTTATGCTCCTACACTTCAATTAGTCTATAAGGGTATGTCTACACTACAGCACTAATTTGAACTAACTTAATTCGAATTAGTTAATTCGAACTAAGCTAATTCAAACTAGTGCATCTAGATCTAAAAACTAGTTCGAATTAGCAAAATGCTAATTCGAACTAGCATGTCCACATTGAGTGGACCCTGAACTGAGGTTAAGGATGGCCAGAAGCAGTGCCGGCAGGGCATCAGATTAGGATTTAGAACGTGGAGCTGCTGTCTCAGGCTAGCCGAGGGCTGTGCTTAAAGGGACCCGACCCCCACCCCGGATAGACAGTTCTCAGGGTTCCCCGCTTGCTTGTCTACCTCGATGAGGGACAGCAAAGCAGTCCTAGCTTGGAGTGCCCTGAATGCCCACACTCGGCACATCACAGCACTCGGCCATCAGCCCAGCTGCACTTGCCGCAGGCTGCCATCCGGGGAGGTCAATCGGGGGGCTGCAGGAGAGCTTCCACCCCGAGGAGCCCACAGAGCCACCCCAGTCCTCCCCATCAGGGGCTCATACCCCATTCCTCCCTCACCTCCTTCCACTTACACCTCCCTAGCCCCCCTTCCTGATGTACAAAATAAAGGACACGTGTGTTCAAAAATAGAAACTCTCTTTATTGAACAAAACTCAGGGAGACTGGGAAAAGGAGGTGGGAGAGGGGGAGAGAGAGGGTGGGAAAGGGGAGGAGGGAGGAGGGAGCTGGAAGGGGGAAGCCAGGGGAAGAAGGAGGAGGGGAAGTATAAAACTATGGTACGCCATATCTTCAGTACTGTGTACAGATGTGATCTCCTCACCCCAGAAAAGATATTTTGGCCTTGGAAAAGGTTCAGAAAAGGGCAACTAAAATGATCAGGGGTTTGGAACAGGGTCCATATGAGGAGATTTTTCACAAGAGTGGGATTTTTCAGCTAGGAAATGAAATAACTAACTAAAGGGTGGGGGATATGCTTCAAACTAATAACAGAAAGTTCTTCTTCACAAAGCAAATAGTCAACCTGTGGAACTTCTTGCTGCAGGAGGCTGTGAAGGCTAGAACTATAACAGAGTTTAAAGAGAAGCTGGATAATTTCAAGGAGGTTAGGTCCATAAAAGGCTATTAGCTAGGGGGTAGGAATTGTGTCTCTGGTCTCTGTTCGTCAGAGGCTGGAGAAGGATGGCACGAGACAAATCACTTGATTATTGTCTTTGGTCCACCCCCTCTGGGTACCTAGTGTTGGCCACTGTCAGCAGACAGGCTACAGGGCTAGATGGACCTTTGGTCTGCACCAGTACGGCCGTTCTTATGTTTTTATGTTCTAAGCTAAGGGCTCAGGGTCTCACTGGACCACCTTGATTTTCATGCAAACCTGCCTTTGGGTGAGCAGGCTGGCAGCTATCCTGCCCTAGACGGCCACTTTCCTGTGCCTAGTGCAGAGGTCGTGGACGTTGGAGGCTTCCCCCCAAACCTCGATGAGGTCAA